AAGTAGCCGTACACACAGCGACACGCCGTACTCTGGAGATCATGAAATTTTCGATCTATTGGAAAATTCTGCCTCGTCTTTTAGCTGTTAAGTCTCATGTAACAGAGTTCACTGTGGTGCGCTATTGAAAACCATCATGATGTCAGAAATATGGCCTCTACTGCATAGTGCCTGTAAGTTGCTGTTAGTTACGTCTAATGCGTGTACGGAACTATAGTCAGGAAAGGATTTCACTATCGAAATCCACGCTGGTAATCACATATTATATTGTGTTCCTCAGATGCCCCATAAAATGCTTCTCGACAATGCGCTCTGTTATTCTATGCGAGATTCAACCTAAACAGACAGTGGTTTCCGGAGTCCAGTTATAATTCCCCCCTATAGATCGGGATGGAATAACATTCTTTCTTTCCTCTGGGATTTCGGCTTCCTCGAAAAGCGTCCGAAATACGATAGATGACGGTTTGCGCAGTTCGTCGGCAAAAACTCGAAGTGTGAGTCCGGACAAGGCAATTCAACAGACTTTAATCAAAATAGTGCAGCTCTAACTAATGCCAGCGAGAATCATGGATCCTATGCTGAATAAGGTGAGAGGAGTCTAGTTAGTGGAGGGGAGATAAGAAGAATATGAATCAGGCTCTCGGAACGAGACTGACTGAAAGAAATATAAAGAATATATGCGTTAACCTGGTCATTAGCCCCAGAGTTCCATCTGAAGATGTAAGGACGGGGATCAGGCGCTAGTTCCTTCTAGGACTCCGAATGCAGCCATGTAGAATTTAAAGGCGTTCAAACGAAAATTTGCGATATGCCCAACAAGATTTTATTTCAACGCCTAACAGCCGCACTTAGAAATGTTTTATTTATGCTTACATTCCGAAAATGCTCTTTATGGCAAGTTAGTCCATACCACTCCAAAACGACTTTCTTTTTACGGAAGATGCCATCAGTTCTGAGTAATCTGTTTCGCGTTATTAATTGTTGTCTTTCCACTGAATAGACAGCTGAGCTAACAACCCACCTAGTTATTGATCTGGAAGTCCTCTGAAGTTTATTTATTCTAAAGTGCCATTCTAGTTTCCCATGACAACCTTCGAGACGTCATCTCCTAAGTGGATAGCCTCTTTTCCAGATCTGATTCTCAAATATATCCGGCGAATCTGATTTGGACAACAGTGAGTTCTCGACGTGCAACGCAATGTGATCGCCTGAGTCTATTGGTTGTCGACCCCGCAGGTCAAGCACATATTTGTTCCTCAGGTGAAAATTAAGTCAAGACCGCCTGCAACACGTCTATATAAGCCCTGCTTTTGTTGTCGAGGGCCCGGACCTCCCCCAAAGACCGCCGAATTATTCACAACTTATTCAAGGTACTTATGCGAATCTATAAAGCACCTATGAATTGGACGTCCATAATAGTCATATGGTGGGGTTTTGACCGATTAGGAAGTTCTAGTTAGGCATTCAGCTTACAGTGTTAGAATAGGTGGACTCTATACGTTTCGTAGGCTAAACGGGAAACTTCCCAAATGATAATTATACTCACAGCCTCCAATTAGGGTCTGGTAGCCCAGGAGGTAAGAGCGTTGGCCGTACATTAGACTGGTACTTTCTCTCGTTGGTTTGGACCTCACCGAGGCCACTCTGATCTTCACAATTGTGTTTAATTAATTGTGTTAACTTGTCAAAAGCACATATTAAGGTCAACACCGCTCGACTGTTGTTTTTTCCTAGCCTGCGTTCCGAAGAGAGTGTTTTAAACTAGAGGTTTTGCTGATGCCCAGTGCAGCGATTCTAGGTTGAAGTTATCTGGTATGCCTTGTCCGGTATTTGTCTTCCAGTAAATAACTGGAGCATTAAAATCCCCGACGACAATGCATTTTTCGTCTCACCGACATTGTAAAGTTCAGTTAATAGGAGATCGTGGTCAGACGAATGGTCAGGCTGACGGTATGCCGCCAAACGCGTTAACAGCCAGACTATTTAGTGGATATATCTGTAGTGACATTTAATTTCGTTTTGTTTTAATCAGTTACAATACGCTTTGGCACAACTTTGAATAAGACAAAGAACACGCACGTGCACTTTTACCTGCCGAAGACTTTGTTCTTATTTACTAGTTTGTAACTGTTGGGATACTGCTATTTTCCTTTCCTGGATAGCCTACTCGCTGTGCCCGACTAGTGGGTTTGTCTCTTACACTGGTGACCCTGTATCGTTCATAGCTCCTTCTGTTTAATTTCTGTGCATAACTATTTTCATTTGGATTAACCCTCACTCTAATTTTTATCGATCAGATTATTCATCTAGCCCTTATTTGCTATTCACACTGTCTCACACTTTCATCCAACACGAGCGCACTGTCAACGCGCCAGTCCTCTACCCCATCTGACCTCTGACCGACACCGGCTAATTATGTCCAACGATTCTACCAGCCAGCCGACAGCCGGATGCACAAAATGAGAACTGCAGAGTGCGATTAGTGAACAACAAGCATAGACTAGCAGAACTCAAAAGGAGATGGCAGCAGGCAGTTCTGAGAGAAGAGGCCTCTATTTAAGGAAATTCAACCAAAAAACAGGTACTAAAATCGTTAGGTCTCACAGAAAAACCACTTAAAATAATATCCTCCACTTATCTTTAAAATTTAAAACCAGCGGCTTGACCTATACCCCCGTAGTCCTGCAATTTCTCGCCGCCCGAGATCTCCCACTCCAAACAAACCTACAGTTGATGGTTTCTGTTGGTATCATCACAATTATGGTTCTAACGCCCATCGTTGCCACTCTCCGTGCAAATATAAAACACCCCAAAATATTACACCCCTTTACAAAAGCGGTAGTCGTGCTCTGGCGACAAACTACAGACCCGTCAGTCTGACATCAATCTGCTGCAAAGTGATGAAGAAAACCATCAAAAAGGAGTTGATGGCTTACTTGGAAACCCACAACCTCTTGTAAAATACACAATATGGTTTCCGTAGGGGAAGATCATGTGTTACGAACTTGCTATACACATCGCAAAGTTGGACACGAGCATTGGACGCAAAACACACCGTGCATGTTGCCTATATTGATTTTAGGAAGGCGTTTGACAGTGTTCCGCACCAGCGTCTCCTACACAAGTTGAGAATTATGGGCATCGGTGGCAAACTTCTCAAATGGATCGAGAACTTCCTTGTCGGCCGCTCCCAAACTGTCTGCGTAGAACAACAGCAATCAAGGTGCACATTCATAGAGAGTGGGGTCCCACAAGGCTCGGTGCTCGGACCAACTCTCTTTCTCTTGTTCATCAATGATTGCGTAGATGGGTTGGACTGTGATTGTGCCATGTTTGCGGATGACATAAAAATCTGGAAAGTCATCCAGAATGCTGCCGATGAGACCAACTTCCAAGAAAATCTTTGTCGATTGGATGATTGGTCCCGCAGATGGCTCTTGTCCTTCAATTTGAACAAATGCATCATTATGCGCCTCGGAAATCAGAGCCCTAGTACGCAGCAATACCATCTGAACGGAATGCCACTCCGAGAAGCAGAAACTCAGAAAGATCTCGGAGTTTGGGTTGCAGACAGCCTAAAGCCTTCTACACAATGCTGTAAGGCGGCCAAGGCCGCAACGTCAATGCTATATGCCATCAAGCGAGCATTCGTAATTTTCGATGAAGACTCCTTCACCAAAGTCTTCGGCACGTTTATAAGGCCCCATCTCGAATATGCAATTCAGGCCTGGAGACCGTGGACGCACCAGAATTACGATCTCCTCGAAAGGGTGCAGAGGCGAGCCACAAAATTAGTAAGAGGTCAAAGTGCACTGCCATACGAGATCCGCTTAACTAACCTTAATCTCTATCCTCTGAGTTATAGGCAGTTGCGCGGAGACATGATACAAACTTTCCGTATCGTGCGCGGCTTGGATTGTGCCCTTCGGTGCGATGACTTTTTCCAACTCGCCACCACAACTCACCTCCGGGGACATCCCTTCATGCTACGTGTGCCACAGGGTAGACTGAATGTGAGAAAATATTTCTTCTCCAACCGTGTCGTGGAACCGTGGAATAACCTGCCCGAGACGGTTGTTATGTCTCAATCTGTGGAGACATTTAAATGTCGCCTTGACAGATATATGCTGCAGCAACAAGCGGACTATGCGACTTTTTAACCATTTGACTAGTGACATATGTGAATCAATGTATGGCTTCACTTAATGCTGTAATTTCTTCACATTTTGCTTGTTTATCGATTTTTTATGTACAAATAGGGAGTTCAAAGGCGTAAGCCTATTTCCCTCAAATACACTGACTGACTGACTGACCCGCGTCGAAAACTCCCCCGCCGACCAGTAAGGGCGACGAACGTGGTCGGCGCATCCTCTCCCAGTCGCTTACTCCACATCTATGACAGAACTTCCTGTCGTAATTTCCTCGTGGATACTAGTGCGGAGATCAGTCTAATCACACCCACCTTGACTGACCGTAAGTCACCAAATTCTTCATTTTTCCTCCAAGCAGCTAACAACACTTCTATTAAAACTTTTGGTCAACGATCCCTAACACTAGATTTGGGTCTAAGACGTTCATTTCGTTGGCTATTTACTATCGCTGATGTCCATACTGCCATTCTTGGCGCTGATTTTATATCCTTTTTCGGTCTCCTCGTTGACATTAAGTCCCACAAATTATTTGATCCTAAGACTTCTTTACATTGTAATTGTTCCACTCGTACCCTTTCATCACCTAATCCACGCATTTCAACAATCCCTTCGTCTACTCCCTATCATCGTTTACTTTCGGAATTTCCATCTATCACACGACCTTCACAATTTAACCAACCTATCAAGCATTCTGTTGTACATTGTATTTCAACTACTGGACCATCCGTGTTTAGCCGTCCCCGTCGTTTAGCCGCCGATAAGTTAGCCATAGCCAAGGCTGAATTCAGTCACATGATGGAGCTAGGCATAGTTAGGCCTTCCACTAGTCCATGGGCTGCACCTCTACATATGGTGTGCAAAAAGTCTCTCGTTGACTGGCGCCCATGCGGGGATTACCGACGGTTAAACACCTCCACTGTGCCTGACAGGTATCCACTTCCCCATCTCCACGACTTTTCATCTAGCCTAGCTGGAGCAACAATATTTTCCAACACTGACTTAGTCAAAGCTTTCCATCAGATACCCGTTGCTCCAGAAGACATTCCCAAAACGGCGATTACAACAACGTTCGGTCTGTTCGAGTTTGTCAGGATGCCCTTTGGGCTACGCAACTCCGCCCAAACTTTTCGACGTTTCATCAACGAAGCCCTCCGCGATCTACCTTTCGTTTTTGTCTACGTCGACTATGTTCTGGTAGCAAGTTCCAGTGAACACGAGCACCTACAACATTTGCGTCTCATTTTTGAACGATTGAGCCAATTTGACGTTTTCATTAATGTTTCTAAATGCGTTTTTGGCGCACAGTCGCTGTTTTTCCTAGGACATCGCGTAGATGCTTCTGGTTGTCATCCCATAGATGCCAAAGTTTCAGCTATTCGCGATTTCCCTACTCCCACTTCTTTTCAACAACTGCGCCGTTTTATAGGCCTTGTCAATTTCTATCGACGTTTCATCCCTCATTGTGCTCAATTAATGCTACCACTTACTAACCTTTTACGCGGGAACAACCGTGAGTTTTCTTTTCCTGACACAGCTGTAGAGGCTTTCAATCGTGCGAGGAAGGCTCTTGCGGATACAACTGTCCTTGTTCACCCTATACCTGATGCCCCACTTTCCATTGTGGCCGACGCCTCTAATTTCGCTATAGGTGCTGCCCTTCAGCAACAGACGCCCACTGGCACCCAGCCCTTGGCTTTCTACTCTGTCAAATTGACACCTCCACAAACTCGCTATAGCACTTTTGGTAGAGAGCTTCTTGCAATTTATTTAGCCATTACGCACTGTCGTAATTATATTGAGGGCCGAGATTTTTGTATTTATACTGACCACAAGCCTCTTACTTGTGCCCTCTCTACTTCTTCTGACAAGTATTCACCCCGCGAGGCCCGCCATCTCGATTTTATTTCTCAGTATACCGCCGACATTCGATTTCTTAAAGGCCTTTATAATCAAGTTGCTGACCGTCTTTCTCGGCCTGGCATTAATGCCATCACCCGCCCTTCCATCGATTTGGAGCGCATGGCAGAACTGCAAAATCAGCCGACTTTCAGTGAGAGCTTTCAACACACTAGTCTCCAACTTGAAGCCATTCCTCTTTCCACCACCCCCGGTACAATCTTGTGTGACGTATCGCGCGGTGTCTCCCGACCCGTAGTGCCAAGCGAGATGAGACCAGCTGTTTTTGCCGCGTTGCACAATCTAGCTCACCCTGGCATCCGCACTACCCAGCGCCTAGTCAGCGAGCGGTTTGTTTGGCCAAGCATGAACACGGATATCCGCCAGTGGACCCGTTCATGTTTGGCCTGTCAGAAGGCCAAATTCGGACGGCACAACAAAGCCCCCATTGGCACTTTTCTCGCACCCGACGCACGTTTTTCACATGTTCATATCGATCTGGTAGGTCCCTTTCAAACATCTCGTGGTTGCAACTACTTACTTGCTGCGATTGACCGATTTACTTGTTGGCCCATTGCAACTCCCATACCTAACAAACTGCCGATTCCGTTGCTCATGCTTTTTTGGAACACTGGATCTCTCATTATGGCGTCCCCTCAACTATTACCACCGATCGAGGCCAACAATTCGAGTCTAGACTTTTTAACAGCCTTACCAACCTCCTCGGATGTTCTCGCATACGCACGACAGCATACCACCCCTCATCCAACGGCTTAGTCGAGCGTTTCCGCCGGCAACTCAAAGCCTCGCTCCGAGCTCATGACAACCCTTCCCATTGGAGCGAGCATCTGCCTTTGGTCACGCTCGGTATCCGTACCGCACTCAAGCCCGACTTGGAGTGTTCCGCTGCTGAACTTGTCTACGGTACCACCCTACGGATTCCCGGGGATTTTTTCGGGTACTCTCAAAGCTCAGGCGACTTGGATCCCAGCGATTATGTGCACAGATTGCGCCATGCCATGACTCATCTTCGAGCCACTCCTCCACGTCCTTCAACAAGTCGTACGTCGACCCGAACTTACTAACATGTTCTTTTGTATTTGTCCGCGTAGATAGCGTTCGCCGGCCACTACAACAGCCCTATGACGGCCCATTTCGAGTACTATCGCGCAAAAACAAGCATTTTACAATTGACCGTGGAGGCCGCACCAACGCGGTCTCAATCGCTTGAAGGCGGGTTATATCGAGCCTCTTCCAACTTCTCCAACCGAACAACCTCCACTTGGCACATTGCCACTTGCTATTTCCCAGACTCCATTTACGCCCAATCACCCCGCGTCTTCCCTTATTCCACAGACTCCTCCCCTTACCCGCAGCGGTCGTCATATCCGTTTTCCCGACCGTTACCAACTTGTACAACATGCATAACACTCCCACATTTTCCTTCTGTTAACAATAATTTTTTTGAACTCCGTTCTCCTAGGAGGGGGAGTATTGTAGTGAAATTTAAGTCCGTTTTGTTTTAATCAGTTACAATACGCTTTGACACAACTTTGAATAAGACAAAGAACACGCACGTGCACTTTTACCTGCCGGAGACTTTGTTCTTATTTACTAGTTTGTAACTGTTGGGATACTGCTATTTTCCTTTCCTGGATAGCCTACTCGCTGTGCCCAACTAGTGGGTTTGTCTCTTACACATCTGTGTTTAGTAGTCCTAATTCCGATGGCAGATTATGTACTTCGACGATTGCGGTTAGTTTGAAAGTGACATAAACGACGATCCTTCCTCCTCCCCTGCTTGGTCTATCCCCTCTGAAGCGTTTATATCTCCTGAATGCTACTTCAGATTTCATAATATCTTTAGAAATTTATGTTTGTGTGGCAGCCATGATGTCTGGCTCCATTTTACCAACTTAGTTTCTAAGGTTGTCCAGCTTATAACAGGGCCTTAAACGTTTGCGGAGCCGATCTTTAATGGTGGTGTCCTCGGAGAGGCTCGACCTTCATTGTGACGGGTTTTTCCACTGAAATAACTCCTCGATCTGGATTATTTGACTGCCTTCGGCTTCCAGTCCTTTGTCCCTCCAGGATAAACAGTCCAGGAGGCGGGCTAAAAATCAAGGATGGTTAAATAATCCAGACTAGTGGGTTATTACCCCGGGCAAAACACATCACAATGAGCGACTGGCCTTCCTGACGAGAAAATCCCTAAACATATGATGCTGTGCATAGCACTGAATTCTTCCGGATAGAAGAATATGCCACATCTTAGGGATCTGCTGCCCGACGGTTCAACCTGCTTATCCTCTAATAAACTAAAGTAAATTGTTTGAGGAAATTAAGATCACCCTGTTTGGCTGCTTTCGAGAGATAACTAAAGCCCACTTAGTGATTTGTTATGGACAGCCTGCTAGTTACTAATCAAGGAGATATAGAATAAGGCTATTTATTCTTGAAATTTCCGCCGAGAATACCGTATGCGGCAGACCAAAAAATCCGCAAATGAGCAACTCGTCAGAAGGGGGATTTAGATGATTCTGTCATTTTGGCTAACAGTTCCAATTACCAGCATTTTGGTCTGCATTTATTCGGCTAAATAGAGAACGTTCACGTATTTAAGATTTTAAGAATCGCTATTATATCAGCTGCATTCTGTCGGTCGGTAACATAAGTCACACTTCCCAAGCTCCCATCACGTATACAATTCTGAAACTTAGTTGTTAGAAAAATTGCCCTTTATGTTTTAACTTACCAAAACAGATCGACATTCTCACGAGAGATAGATTATTCAATATGCAACAGTCCGCACGATTATCAGGACAAGACACTTAAGGAGGAAGAGAACGCCTATTGGAAAAGATTTCGAGGAGTATGAAACTGATGGACAATAATCCATGGAGGCCGTCTGGCTAAAAAACAGTTAGTAGGTTTAACAGATGTATGCCGGGATTGTAGGCAAGTCGAAACATGTAATTTTAGTCCTCGAGATAACTGCCTCATTTCGATAGTTATGACTGGGCAAATCGTAAACAGAACATCGTGATGTCAGGGATAAGCTGAATGAAAAGCGGCATATCAGGCAAATAAACTGTTATAAGCGTGCCCGCGCATACATGCAACAAAATGAAACTAAAAAGTTTGCAGTGCCAATGCAATCACACAGTCTTTACCCGGCAACACTTTACTGCCTATTACTGACGCTGACATTCAGTTATCCCGATTTAGCACGATACTTTTGTTGGCTCAGTTAAATGTACACCAAGGAGCTTAGCACTTAGAGTGAATTGCCAGAATTAGAAGATTTGACAGACCATGTAAACTGACACACAGCAGATGTAAGACAGACGTAAACGACCGGACCTCTCCATGACTCAGATATTTCCGATGATGGATCTTCCAGTTAAAAACAGTGAAGGAAACAGGACATCGGTTGCTGATTTCATCATGTGTACCATTGACGCGACGGCACGGGACAAGTCGCGGAGCCACAACTGGGATTTGAACAGGTGGACCAGCTCCGCCCTGTCCAGCTGTGTCAGAAATTAAGAGGCGAACGATTCCTCGGGCTGGGCCTTGGTATCATCCCTCTCCGTTTGACACAGCCCCTGGGATATGGGCATGTGTTAGCAGGGGGAGTGTTCCAGTTATATTCAGAAGAATCATACAAATTATGGATTTGTGATTACGTTGTTGAATTACAACGCCCACAGGAAACCGCCTTCACACCACCACACCGTCCGCCCCATGTGTGGCACATGTTATGGGGTGCGCGGACTCTGTGCAGCCTGTTTAACTCGTCCTGAGCCCTAACCTGCCCCTCCTTTTGGTCCGAAGAATCTCCTGCGTGGTCCGTTGTAGGTACACATGACCAACACGAAGGCCGTGGTAGACGGCGGAGCGATAGAGGTGGTATTTGTAAGCAACGTGTTTTGAAGACGAGAGAGAGCGACCACTTCAGTTATTACACCCCACCTTGGAACCACAGACGTTGCAAAGTCAGACAAACAGGCGTTGTCTGTCCTCTCGCGTAACGTGAGGTGGGACGGTTATCGGCAGCTGTTGTGCAAATCGACTCAGAATAAGTTCTGGTTCCGTGTCAGACACGGTAGCCGGTGAGAAGTCCACGCAGAAATGTGTTTCCATAGAGCGGGAAAGGGGTGAAAGTTAGTTAACGCTGACAGAGTTCACATTGTTGCGCTGGATGCGAGGAGATTCTGCGAAGCCAGCGTTAGTCCTAAATGTGCCTCGCCACTGAACAGCTGGAAGGGATGGAGCACTACTAAAAAATATCCCACGACACTCCGCCTTGCTTTTTCTCCACTTCTCTTGACAGTTTCTGTTCAGTTAGCTTCGAATATTGTTTTTTTATTTTTACGACAGTCCGCAGTGCACGCTGATCCTGTAATCGGGTTTCTCAAACATTTTGGCGAGGCCTTCATGGCAACAGGTCCTCCTGTTTAATAAATAACAATAAATCATTCGTAAGGTAGAAGCTTTTATTGGCGCTACACTTACATTTGTCAGGATTAACTGCTCTGAAAAATCCGGAATCCTGCGGGAAATGCAAAAATTTTGAGCTCGCCAGACAATCCCAATACCAAGTACCCGCGACCCGATTCGGCCGCATTAAGTACATAATCCTTCAGACAATTTAGGTGGAAGCGCTTGGACACGTGCTTGGTTCTCGACTGTTTAATTCACCGCACCAGCGAGAAATCGGAAACTGTAACCGTATAAGACAAGTGGAATCCTTTGCTTGGCTTAGGTCAGGACGCTTGTCATATATACTGTTGGGGATCATACGCCACTTCAATTTCCGCTTTTGTCTGACCTATTTTCCGCACCACACACCTGAGCGCTCTGGAGGCAGTTATTGTGAAAACTGTCTGTAAAGAAAACGCCTACCACCTCACACGCTTCCTAACCTTCCAAGAGAACTAGGAGATATTCAGACAAATATCGTTATTTTGGTAAAAACGGACCCCTCTACAGCACAAATAACAGTGTACAGGAAATACTCAAGACATCAGCCGAACACTGAGCGCGTTGTACGGCTGGCGCTTCTTGATAACACCTATGAAGAACGTGAACGACACTGTCCACTCAGCGTTCAGTTGGAGAATTCGGGTGCCTCACTCAAGCAGATGCAGCAGAGCGGTGATCTGTTTGTGCACGATCTGAAGTCAGCCTTACGCCTCTGGACTCCCCAGCGCCGTTAATGCAACCAGAGAAACCCTTCTTGCGTTTGGCCTCGTCTAAACAGACACCGCCAGTTTGCCGGAAAGTCATTAAAGCGCTTCGAGTCTTGTGCCTGCATCCCACGTCACCACACGGGAGATACAATAAAATACCTTTTACGCGCACACAGCATGTCACTTATAGCCGAATACCCTGGTGGAACACATAAGTACCCTTGGGGCAGGACCTGAATCGAAACCTTATGAATTCCGCACCCAAAAAGATGTAATCAGCAAGAAACTGCTACCCACGTGATGGCAGCTGGATCAGCAAAGCCCGTGCTGCCTCTGCGCATCAAACAGCTACCACAACTCACTGAGCAAAAGTGGATTCTTACATCCTTTAAAAACTTTAAAGCCGATAGTCCACTGCCCTTGACAACGCTTATATTATAAGAGAAACCAATATTACAGTGTGCGATAAAATGATAAACATTAATAGAGATAAAAAAGAAAGACGTCGGCAGGTACCCTGTAATATCTGGTCTTCTTTAAGTCGAGTAGCATCAGGGCAGCAAAATGCAAAACTAGGCAGGCAATTTCTGTAAGGTAAAAGCAGGCTAAACTGAACTTTAAAAAACGTCAGCGGAGGAAAACATGTACAAGGGGACTGTGGCTTTCGTCACTATTATAAGGCATATCTAGTTCTCATTTAGCCTACAGGTAAAAAGGGCACACGAAGTATGCGAAAGATCACAGTCAAAAAGCCGTTGCGCATAAACCCACAGCTGAGGGCTGGGCGATAGGTGATGGAGAGAAGGAAAAGGAGGCCCAGACATGCTGACGGATGGCGCAACAAGTGGGAAGGCGTCGACGGTGGCCCGGAGTCTTGAAGCCGACTACCTCGATCCCAGGGTAGGCAAATGCATCAACTCCATGACGAACTCAAAAGTCAGGTAACTGATGGTCACCGAGGGCAGGGTCTTAGTGAGACTGGTAAGGAAACCGCGATAGAGGCCCAACATGCCGTCCGCTCTACAGATGTCGCGTGCTGTGCCTAAGATGGACATTGGTCTGGAACAGGTGGACGCCTGGAAGCGGGTGCGCAGCAGATTGGCCGGATACACCACCAGCATTGGCAGGAAGGAGGAAGAGACGATGAGGGCGATCGCGGCCGGGGCGGATAGGTGAGGCATCGGGTCTCCGGGATGGTAGTTGTGGAAGTGTACCATATAGCTCCGCTTAAACAACTGGTAGTGAAAGAGGATATGAAAACTTAGAAGCCGGGCTACTGCAAAATCCACTTCTATTACCCAGTTAATGGATTTAGGATGGAAACGGTGAGGCAAAGTGAGGAGAACCACGAGACACATGGTTGCCAAGAACAGAATAAACTGGCTAAGCAGAAGTGCCGAAATGGGCAAAAATATATTTTGGCGAATGACATTACCAAATTTCCAAAATGCACAATTTGCCGGAAAAGCCGTGCAGAAGTTTTTAAGCAAAAAGAGTTCAACAAAATGTTAATGGGGGAAGATACAGAAAGCCAGGTGGCGTTGAAAAAAGCAAATTGGTTTGGAAAGTCCTAGACAGACATGATGTCAAAAACTAAGACCTACAGTATCACAAAATCATCTTAATTCGATCAATTCCCTATATTGAGTGGAGACGTATTGTCCCTAAGTTGTTGTACAGGACCGTCTCCGGGTCACTGTTGTCTGCCTCCTCCCCCCTCCCCACTGCCATCAGCAGCACCGCCGGCAAAATCCTGCATGAGTCAGAACAGTGCACGGAGACGCTTACTTTCGAACGGTAGTGCAGTATTCGTCCAAATTCAACCAGTGAAAACATCTTCCAAGCAATATATGTCAGAATGGGTGACCGAGGATCTGACAAACAGCCTAACGATGCCGATAATGCAGGAAACACCATATAGCTGCGACCACATAAACAGGAAGTAGAAGTAGACCTCACTAAATGTTAACCCAAATTCTAGAATGTGTTTTCGATCAGAGAGGATTGTAACATGCAGCGTACTCCCAATATTTTTCGATCATGCTTTTGAATGAGTTGCTTTTCGGTCGTCTGCAAAAACCGCACTCCAAAAATGACTTCCTTTACCTGGTCCTGTGGAGCAGGCTATATTGGTCGTACGAGTCGGCGCCTATCCACAAGAATACGAGAACACCTGCCGGCATGGCTGAGGAAGGGTGAAGTTAAAAGCCTACACAGCTCCATCCTCCCGCACAAGGTTGATTCTGGGCGTCGTGTGGGTCCAACGAAGCCCTTCGTGTGATTTATAAGGCCACACCTAACTAACCTAAGCGACTAGGTCAGCGCTTACTAGCAATAGCAGAAGCGGTTGCCATCAGGCTACGGGGGCCGATCCTGTGCGCGCAGAAAAACCTTTTGTAGGCTCCGCCTCTACGCTGGGCAAAGATCGATTAACTGTATGCATGCCTCCGTGACCCCGTTCCCTTACCCCCTTGTGACACGGCTCTACCTAACTTTCACTGTCATCTGCTGCCTCCCCTCCCCCCTCCTATTCACGCACTCCGCTTGTATGAAAAGACGAACAGTAATCGATTCATCTTATTGACGACACGTTTCGCTTTGTACCTCGTTCCCATGTAAAGGTACTGGCCCGGTGAGGATTTATCAAAAGCACGAGTATGCTGGCCAAATGCTCTTCTGAATGGCTCCATGAGAATTTCCGCTACTATTATAGTGTGAATCTTTCCCAATGAGCTCCGATGACCTTATAAACTCAGATTCACTTTACAGAAAACAAGTACAAACTATTTCTTCTATTTCTTGAAGAAAGGGTTTCTTTCGGTTTCAAAAACTTTCGATTTCCGAATAGTTTTGAACCCGGCTTGCTTTTATGCTTGCATTCGGGGTCTCCAAATTACAAGCTGTATATTTTCCGTGTAAGGAAAAGCATACATCTCTATACGCCTTGAAGGTAAGGATAGACTGCCTTCTCAGACCTCTTCAATGTGCGTCTACACCTTCACTTGTTTTGTGTGGGCCAGGTTATACTGGTCGAACAACTAGGCGTCTATCCAGGCGGATGCGAGAACACCATCCTGCCTGGCTAAATCAACGTGTGGAAAAACCCACCTCTAGCGCAATTGTGGTTGAAAGCGGCCACCGGGTAGACGTCAATCAAACATCCTGAGTGTGTCGCCGAGACACTCCAAGTTCCTACGTCAGATGATGCTTGCGACGGCAGAGACAGTGGTCATACGGTTAGTCAACCCAACCTTGTGCTCGCACAAGGCGTTTGTAAAAACGCTAAGGCTCCCCTGGACAAAGACAAACCCAGCACGTGTGTTCACGTCGCGCAACAGCGGTGAAACAGAGACAGCTAATTGCCAGACCCCTTCCCTCTCCTCCTCCCTAAGCCCCTGACAGAACTAGAATCTGACCCCTGACCTCTGAACGCCCTCAACCCTCGCTCCCATACTGACCTTTATTGGCTGTTTAACTTTTGCTACTCTACCCTCCCTTAAATTACTATACGGGCCTGATGATAAATAATCGAAAGTTCATGTTGACCCAACTGTGAAAAACTCGGCGCCTCGGTGGGATTCGAACCCACGCAGTAAGGGGAAGGCTTTAGTACAGCCAACGCTCTAACCATCTGAGCTGCGAGGCCCCGCCTTTGCCGGACTTGACTTCTGAAATTTTTAAAACCGAAAGATACCCCTTCTTCCAGCATAAAATTTGAAGAGGACGTGATTTGCGACATAGTAATTAGTAGCACAACCCAGCTTGAGTAATTCCTTCTAAACGAACACATTTTTGAGTTTAAGTTAACATTTCTTGAGATAATGCACCTGCTGTACTTTAAATAACACGTCTGACAAGGATCGGGAGAAGGGCCCCAAGCATCTGTGGCATACAAAAAATATTTACTACACTTGTTTAATTGGGTGTAGTCCGACACAATTATTTCGATTTGGTGTTTTATCGTATAATTTTGAGTTGTCTATTGTAGACAATATGGTGCATTATCTACAATGGCCTTAGCTCAGAGAGTTGAGAAGAGATCGTTGTGGATACTTAATGTTGGTTCTTTTAATTGCCCTGTTTAATTTCGTTTGCTATAAGCCAATACATTAAAACGTTTCCGCCCGGGAAACGAACTTGCCAATTACCTATACATATTTTGCCCTTCCTCTATGCATACAGAGGTCCCGCCCGTAAAACCCCTTTACCACCTTTTTCCGTAAGACAGGCAACTTTGGCTGGTCGTGTGTGTTTGGGGTCCTTCGCCCGATCGTTGCCAATTCATGTTGACTGATCTGAACATTGCTAGTGCGCGCATCGGCAGTATTAGTAACTATGGTAGACACAGGGTCTTGGTGTCCAAGCAGCGAAAACACGAGCGAAGGTGCAGAAGCTGCTTAAAATGACCAAACTAGACGATGAATGCAACGAAGTGCCAGATATAAGGCTAAAAGGGATGTGGCGCCACTGAACGGTGAAAGACCGACAAAGGCTGGTCTAACGAAGGATGTATGGTCGGTAAAAGCGCGACTCTGTCGGCAAACTACACAAGTTCAGCGCTTTAGCTCATTATATCGAGCGTTCTTAAATCTAAGGACCACCATGGATGATAAAAAAAGTCGACAAAAGTTCTTTATAGATGGGCCCGAAGGTGAATAGCCACATCGACATGAGCGATGGCTGAATTCCAAGATACAAACGCAAGCATGGCGGCGGGACACGCGATAACCCATCACCAGCTTGTTCATCTTCCGGGTTCCAAAATACTTGCTGCACACTACGGATTGCCGAACTTTTCTTGGCATCACACTAATATGCCATGTCCGAGAGGGTGGCCGACGATCGATGTGCACCGAAAGTGTGACGGACATTTAAAAATACTTGACGAGTTAATGCCTCGGTAATCTGATCTCCGTGGTGGGTAAAACAACGGGTGATATTATGGCTGGGAGACTGTGACAAATGAAATAGAGGTGGTCATTCGAATTTAGTTCTTCTTTGTCAGCGAAAATTATCATCATTACTTGCTTGTCTACGAGGGCTCCACACCCGAAGCGTCAGGAGTTGGTCAGGCAGTCGGTGCCGCCACTAACAATTTCCAGGTTGGTTAACGGCAGTAACAGGACTGTCAAGCGGTCGGAGGACTGTTTGCGAGAAACGACATCCCTAGGATGACTTACCTCATAGAAGGAAAGTTCCATACCGGAGTAGGGTACGTAGCTGAGCATGCTGATGGTGTATCCCCGGTAGAAACTGCGGAAGCCACCTTGCTGAAAAATAGTCCGCAGGCAACGTACTATCGAATTGGGGTCCCCCGTGCGTCTCAGGGCCATCCGAGTCTTCATGACCTACGTGAAGAAGAAGAGGAAGAAATGAGGGTGGATGGAGTGGCAGTGGGTAAGTGTACCGGAAAAATGAGAGGAGTGGAGGATGAGATAAGGTTACAATCGTAAAAGAAGGCTGAGTCCAGCCACAAATGCTACGCCCAAATACAAGGTGTACACGAGATTAAAACAAACTGGTCACACGTCCGATTATGACAGGTGTTTCGTTGGAGGTCGCAGAAGTATTGTCACCTCGGCAGTACAGCTGCATGGTCTTATCTGCGTGTGCGGCTATCTGACACAAAACTTGGAAGCAGAAACCGAGCAAACAGACTGTAGCAATGCTGATGTTATATCGACCTTCAGCGAGGAGACAGATGATTGTACAATAACTATCATTATACGAGTCCACTTAATGTTCCTGCCAACCGCTACCGCTCGTAATGCAACTCGCGGACAGAGAAGAATCAGCGTAGTTTCCAATCAGGGCGGAGATGTGTGCCGTTGAACTTCTCATTTTGTGGAACCCTAAAATGCCACTTCCGTTCATTTCGTGCATATCGCCGCTCCTTTCGATTCCTTCCGTCCCAAAAAGGCTGCCAGATGGCCTGATTCTAGTTTACTAGCATTAAATGATGACCACTGTTGGTGTAAATGGCGAGGAGAGTGACGTTCTTGATGCCATTAAGACCAAGTTATGAATCTATGGAAAGTCCACCAAGACAGATGGTGGTGGCACAGAGAAGAGATCTCGCGGGCTCTGGGAGGATCCACTACATGAAAGTATAAGAAAGACGGTGCTTGGGTTCGATTCTCCGAACCTGCTTGGCGGACCGCGTCTTCAAATAGTTGTACAGTCGGCAAGGAGTTTGACCTATCGACTGCACGTCGACGTAGACGGTCCGGCTGTGTCGCGGCGACCTGAAGTCGAAATCGTCTGATGCTTCACCTTAGCCAGGTCCGGCGTTAGATGGTGACGGTTTCGAGATAGCCAACTGCGTACGTGGTGAAAGCTGATACCGAGGGTATTTACCGCTTTGTAGACTTTGCCCTGAAGGGATAGCGTACAAACAGCGTTTCGTGCAAAAAAATGGACCAGAATTTTGAACAAACGGCCGAATTAGTTGGCCTTGGGTGACCGATTTTCTTCTTTTGCTGGCTTGGCCTACTGACCGTTGTCTGTAAGTGTAGGCGGCCTCCTGCGTTGCATGTCGTCACCTCAATGGGGGTCGGTTGCATCTGTGCTCCTCTTTTGGGCGAATTAGTCGACGAGCCGTGTTTACTCAGTATTTTTAAGCTCCGTGGGACCGTCTTGACCTGGTCACGGCGTAGGAGTTTAAAGGCCACCGGAAGGTCTAGATGCCTGTTGATGGAGTTGGCATCTGACTACCATGCCTCAAGTGAGAGACGCTCTGTCCTTGAGGTGTCCTGGCTTAAGACGGTTGCTGCTTGAAAATCAAAACTGTGGCCAGCTTCTCTGATGCGAGTCGCAAGCTGTGAGTTTGGGTCTAGTCTCAAAAGGGCAGCACAGGTGTAACTGACCCCCATCGGGGTGACGATAAGCAACACAGGAGGCCGCCTACATTCACAGACAATGGTCTGTAAGTCAGGGTCGCGAGAGAAAAAAGTCGACCGGCCCGAGGCCAACTAATTCGGCCGTTTATTCAAAATTCTGGTCCATTTTTGCATAAAACGCTTTGATAGTTGAGAGCCGGCCAAGCTCTCCGAAACGTCAGCCACTCGATCCCACTGATCCGGCGACCTCTTCATATTTCTCCGATTATCGGCCCAGATCTCCAACATTTTCTAAGCTGGGTATTTGAATTCTGGGCATGCTGGAACAGAGCCTACGAAATAATGGTAATCCCCGCAGTGTCCTACAAAAGTTTCTTTTTCCGTACTCCGTAAATGATAGGTTAACTGGCTTGAAGGAGAGGGGAAAATTTGCGCAGCCAAGACTAGCACTTTACATTTTCAAGGTAGATAAGAAATGGAACTGACGGCTAAAAGTAGTATACTATGCCTGTACATACAGACAGTGGGAGTGTGCAACTGATGAGTGCTCCGCAGACGGCCGCACACTATCTCGGTATGCTAGTTTTGTTGGGCCATGAAAAAAGGTCTGAACAACAACCACAGCGGTGAGCGCGACTTTTCCAGGTCAGCCTCGGGCGGCAGGGACACAGGTCACGGTGACAGAGAAGAAAAAGCCGAACACGCCTTTGCACAGGGTCTCGAAAATTCGACAATGAAAGTGAGAAAGCCATTGTGTAGAATTCTTTACTAGCCGAGTAACACGTATAAGCCAAAAACGGATTTCGGTGTATATGCAGTACTATTGATAGAATACAGGTAGTAGTAAAAAAAACGTACAAACCTCAGCAATGGACACCCTAGATAAAGAATTCCTTTGTAACTGTTCGAGCAAATCGAATTCCCAGCCCACAGTCAGAATACAAAACTAGTTAATTAAAAGAACACCGATCATGCTCGGAAGAGGATTACAAAAGGGGACGGGAGGATGTCAACGAGCGCCAAAATTGGAAGCGCTTGCGGAGAGGGCGTGGAGAATTACAAACGTTGACCAACTGGATACAATACATTGTCTTCTTGGCAGGACGAACTGTCCGCAAACATCTTTGACATGACACGCGCTAAAGCCAGCAGCTGAAAATCTACAAAATCTTTCTACCGGGGCCGCACTCCAGAACCCGTCGAGTGAGTCTTGGTGAAGAGGAAAGCTATCTACCCACAAAAGACATAGTCGGGATTTGTGGGTGGGTAGACTTCTGGGGTGCAAGTGGCGACAAACGAAGGTTCGGGACGCACCTACCGTTTAACACTCGATAGGAGAGTTCCCTTCGACAAACAGCCCTAATTCATCTTCTTTGACTAGAGCGTGACCGTCTCGTAATCGGGTGGCCGGTTTTAATAGTTATTTTTTAGAGGGAGACCGGGTTTCGCAATAACCCTAATGACGGATTCGTCAGGGGGAATACACTTTCGAAGGTATTAATCAGCTAAGACTTGTGTTATACCATATAAATGTTTAACAGGCAAAACGTGCAGAATATGTAGGTGGAATACAGCCAGTCATATAATATCGCTCACATCGCTCTTTTGGGGCTACTGCAGATCTGGGTGCGCTGACAAGTTTTTAGGTTTAGAAAATTACTTTTATTGACGCAGGTAGACAGAAAAGAGCGTGCTGAACTATATATTGCTAAGATTCGCGAGGAGTGGCGACGGAATGCCCTGAGAAATATCCACAGCAGGGCAATCGAGGTCAGGACAGGCAGGACTGCACCTTAGTGCCTGTGTGATATCCCCAGGGTGTCCTCGTACGTCGTGTTTGTCCACCCCGTCTACGATCATCCGTGCCATCATTAGTGCAGGATATTTTGTTGGGTAGGCGTTCGTCAACCATGCGCATGGCATTGCCTGGCTGTACTATATGGACCTACTTTAGCATGCCATAGGCGCTGAGCACGCCCGTTCTGTTCAGGGCCGGAATACTTTGAATCCGTTTCTGCGCCCTCGACATCATAGGCAATAGAACCTACACAGACTGATGACCCTTCAAGCACACCAGCATTTCCTCGATTTGGGCTAAAGTGCGGCCCCACAACCGAGAATTAATGAAGCGACTTTGGCAGAAAGACGATATAGGTCTGCCACTCTGGTCTTGATTTGTGTCGTCTCAAAGACGTTTGCATACAAGCCGCTCTGCCAATATGACAATGACTTCCTCACAAAACGCGACCAAAACATTTTCAAATATAACTATGGACTAAGGCCGTGCCTTGTGATGAGAAAAATACATCTGCCCCCAAAGAGAAAGTCACAATTGTCTCCATGGAGACTGGGTTTTGTGGAAGAAAGGCCTAGTGCACGTGTTTGTGATGATTTACCGGCCGCAATAGCCAGGCTCATCTTCGATCTCGACCCCTTCTTAGCACTGGAAAGTGGTGGATTTGGGAGATAGAACGTGAGGCAGGTGCAGCATAGTCTTCCTAACTACTAACCAATTCACGCGCAAGTCACCGCTGCGACATCAGGACAAACAGGGCTCTCATCGACCACGAAAGGCAAATTATTAGTTATGGTAGTGCTATCGGCGTACTGATAAGGATGAAATTGACGACGCATGCTGAGCAGGAAGACAGCATAAAGAACGGAAACGAAGTGGATACCTCAAGAGGGTAGGTCAGAGTTAGGGATCCGGCGCCAGCGAGGGAGGCCACAAGAAATCGTTGGGAGGGTTGAAGATCCTTTGCGCCTGGAAAGAGGACGTCTTTCAGTCTCCCATGGAATCCGAAACGCAAAGCCGTTTCGGGACCGTTCTTCAGGACATTTACGCCATTGCCTCGCCAGAGGGAACGCAGACCTCCGTCCGCAATCATAACCTTAAAGCCTAGATTCCCAAAGACCAAAAGTTAATTAACAGTCGCGGTCAGAATGTATGCAGGCAGCAAAGAAGTGGAAAATAAGATACAGTGGATCGGGGCAGGCCCGAAAACGTAATCGACAACAGTCGCCTACGTCCCAAAATAGTGGTCCTCTGTTACCAATATAGTTAAAGGATAAGAAAAGCAAGCTAAGGTTGCTTCGAGTTGCTGACACAGTATAGGACTATGAGTATTTACGGGAAGGGGAGGAAAGAGGGAAAAGCTACCGCAAAATCATCGTTTCGGGCCAGTTTGAGCCTTATTAGGCAACCCCGGAGTCAGAAACTAGTTAAGTTCTCTTCATTTTCCTACTTGGAAATAGATTCAATCGATTTTTTCTCTAAATTTTTGAAAATAGATACGATGACTTTTCCTACATCCAAAGTCACCTGCAGTGTCTCAACCGTCTGGGCCTCAAGTAAAATAACTAACAGGATCCGGGTTCTTACTAGCCCCAAGCTGAGTTATGGTTGACTGATAACGACATTATATTGCTATAAAATATCATCCTAGTCCTTACTGTCCATTGTTCTGAAGCTTGGGCTTACAGACCGGAGCTCCAAGGCAAAAGAGAGCACCGGTAGCCCGTCATTCAAGTAAGGCGGATCAGCGGACAGCTACAAGTGCGAACTCGCGGTTCCGTGATAAACTAGCTTCGGGTTTAGATGCAGGAATTTCGTGGCCCGTAGACGAGTTATCGCGTGCCAACAACGTAAAAATGCAAACGGTCTTCTATAGCTTCCCTATCCTTGTTAACAGCACTCGCGTGCATGTCGATATCACTATGCATCGTTTACTTTGCCCATAAAACGGACAGCGCGGTAGAGGTGATAGACCAACAAGGACTAGATCGGAGGCAAGCATGAATTATCGGGAATGCGCACCCATAACAAATGGCAACATTTGGGGGTTGGTAACGTGCCCAGTTGCCATGACATCGGGCCCAAGCGGGGGAACTGCGGTAGACGCTGCGCAAGCCTACTAGCACTATAAACTAGTCCATGCGTAAGTCATCGTCCCTGCTCTCGCCCTGCTGTGGAGCATATGGTGGACATCGCGGAAATCGACAGTCGAACTGTCGTATCATTTAACTTGCCTCGCCTATGTTCAATGGTGAGGCAAGTGAGCCAAAGAGGAGTCGTCCGGGCAGTGAGTGAGTTTTTATTATCATCAGCGACCTACCGGTGTAAAGACCTAAGTTCGAGCGAGTGAGATGGTATTCGATAATCTGTCTCAATCCGTTGTATACCTAGGAGACAGATGAATGCAAAGGAGACATGAGTTAAAGGCAACTCGGATTTCAGAAAAAAAAAGTGATGTAAAACTCACTGTGAAACATATTTCGACCCGCGATCTCGGGAACGGCTGTTTGGCGCAACACCTTCAGACGATCGATCGGCGCGGTGCAAGTGCGGGAGACACAGCCGGCGGTGAAACCCGCCAAGTACCTCCGTCTGTCCACGGCCTTGCGAGAAAGGGTTGTGGCTTGCACAGTCGCTAAGGTCACTGGTGGTATCACGGACCCACCAACTGTCGTAGAGGTGTTCGCAGTGTTACTACTCATAGCGGCACTTGTGGCGATCAAATTGCCCTTAGATTCCTCAAGTTCAGCCATTTACACTGAAAAGAGGGAAAAACAAGAGAAGGCCTGAAATAACATTCGTAAAGAATGGAAAGTGATGGACGAAAATATAATGGCATATATAGCCCATATGGCGTCATCCTGGCCAACAAGGTCAGAGTTCGAAGTCAGTCTTGGTGTTACTCATTAACTGGCGCCAAAATAAAAACAGAAGCAACCAATTGTAAGAAGCTAGGCGACCTCGGCGGGATACCAGCGCGTGACATCAACAAAAAAACTAGTACAACTCGTGCTCTAGCCCCCTGAGTCAGGAGGCCCCAACCGAGGTCTTAAATTGGTGAGTTAAACCATTTATGTCTAACAAAAGGACATACATTAAAATAAAAATTACTATTACAGTAGTTGTGCTAACTCATGAAATGTCAACCAAAATTTCGAAATGCGTTCTCGTTTCGAAATGATAAATTAAGTAGTGTTGTAAAACTAAGCATGATGCAGCATATATCTATCATGATCCAGTTACCTCAGGGTTTCGGCTTTTGAAAGAACTTATTTTCGGTTGCATGCAAGATCTATACTTTGCAAAAAATGACTACTTAAGTAGCATGCAATTTTTTCATTGATTTTCGATGCCCTTGAAAATTCAATTATATTTCATGGAAAACATGCATGAAAATATTCATTCTTTTACTTATTCGGTAGAAAATCACGTCTTCTTCCACTTTTATACTCACAAGAAGAGTATAATTCGGTTTTAAAAAAGTTTCTAATTGTGAGACTTTTTAATACCGTTAAATGGCCGTTCATGAAACGTCATGTATCTGCATTTACGAATGTGGCTTGTAAAGTTAACAATATGGCTCAAATCGACTGCTTAATTTTATGAACCTTATATGGTCTCTTTTTAACACCGTAGAGAAATGCATGCAATATTGCTAACTTTACAAGCCACATTCGTAAATGCAGATACATGACGTTTCATGAACGGCCATTTAACGGTATTAAAAAGTCTCACAATTAGAAACTTTTTTAAAACCGAATTATACTCTTCTTGTGAGTATAAAAGTGGAAGAAGACGTGATTTTCTACCGAATAAGTAAAAGAATGAATATTTTCATGCATGTTTTCCATGAAATATAATTGAATTTTCAAGGGCATCGAAAATCAATGAAAAAATTGCATGCTACTTAAGTAGTCATTTTTTGCAAAGTATAGATCTTGCATGCAACCGAAAATAAGTTCTTTCAAAAGCCGAAACCCTGAGGTAACTGGATCATGATAGATATATGCTGCATCATGCTTAGTTTTACAACACTACTTAATTTATCTTTTCGAAACGAGAACGCATTTCGAAATTTTGGTTGACATTTCATGAGTTAGCACAACTACTGTATTCCCCATTTACACGTTCTGACCCGACTTTTAGCGTTCACGTGCACACATTTCGTTACGCACACACACAAACACGACAGTTCGACCGTCTGTGCCGACGATGCTCATCATGTGCTCCACAGAAGTGTGGAGAAAGGACGGTGATTTGCGCGTGAATCAGTTTATAGTGAATGTAGAAGTGCGCTGCATCTACAGCACTCTCCTCCCTCACCTGGGCCCGTTGTCAAGACAGAGTCAAGAAGACTGGAGGCGGGGGAGGGCGCAGGCGGATGGCACGGCCGAGCCCCCACCTTGGCGCTCCACTCCACACCTCCTGGTCCACAAAGCAAATGACCGGCTTTTTGACCAACAACAAAAGGGTGGCTGGCGCGGCAGAAGCCGCACCTAGGCGTGCTGTCACACCTGACTCGGATCCCACGGAGAGGGAGTGCTATAAGGGTCACATTAAGAAGGGGTCATTGCAGCCTGACTCTTAGACCACCAGTCGACCGCCCCACACAAACACACAACACTGTGCCGACTGCGAGGTCCAAGTTATCCCGTCAGTTGGCAACCTTCCAAGCCACGGTTTTTGGCGCACCGCGATAGCTTCGAGCGCGTCAGATTGCTTATAATGAGGGGAATGCACTGAGTTGTCGACCTCCCTCCCCTTCCCATTCCTAGGCCCAAGTCACTGTCCGAGTCGGTCGATTGACAGGTGCGGGAAATGGGTGCGATGGCTGACGTATATGGTGACCTTGTCTGCGTGCGCCACATGCACGACCTGCCCCCCCCCCAAACACAAGCACTAGGATTCCACACAGCAGGGGTTGAACGGCGTACATCACACATGCGTAAGGATGTCGTAGGTCACGTTAAGAAGGGACCGTTTCAGCCTGGCTCTCAGTGGGCGTCGGAGATGGTGGAGGGGCGGTTGAGGACGCCACGGGGCACACGGCAAGAACCAAAAGAAACCAGTGAGAAGTGTTCGTAAGAATGAGTCCAATGGCTATTTCTGGCTGAGATTTGTGGTCTGCATCACACAGTCAGTCCGTCCGGAAAATGTAGAGGCCGAAAGGAAGAGACAGATTAATCGGCCCTTCTTACCCTCTGGAATAGCCTGTGGAGGTAGGATCTGCAACAGACTCAAGGCCAGCGAAAGAGCACATTTAAGCACTCCTAGCCTAGTAATCCGGATGACGTTGGGTGAAATTCCCACTACAATGGTCCAATCAAATAGAGAAAAACATCAGCGGACGACAGCTCATACTCATTGGAGTCTCAAAGCGCCCTGTTGTGGTTGAGTTTAAGATCCAGATTATACTGCTCGGTTAAGCTCTCTGAAAGTCACTTTGAAAAAACCACAGTCTTCCTCATTACCACCAAGGGCATCATGATAACCGATTCTACGCCCCGACGGAGAATAATTATGCGGATAAATAATTACGGGTTAAAAGTACGTTAGACATGGCGTATTGGTGAAATCAATAGTAAACCCGCATTTTAATGTTTGATGACGCTTTAAGTCGCTAACTCGACCATCTCGTAGCACAAAAAGTGTTAGGACAAATAAATCTAAGTCCCATTGACCTGATGTTGAGACCTTAGTAAACGGCGACATGTAGGATGGCAGAAAACAGTCAGAAGAAACGAGGGGCCGATGACGGAGGTAACATTATGCGTGAAAAGGTAGTGCAACAAGGCTCAAAAGGCAAAGCATATTCTCGGGAGGTAAAATAAGTGGAGGGAGCAAGACATAGTCATAGGATCGATTAATTGTCATTCAAGGGCACATCTTCCATAAACAGCCTCACATGGAAAAAAAACATTATAATGAAAGTTCACTCTGGAGACGGAACTGTCAAATTCTAATGAAAAGGGTTTCAGGGCTGCCCAACTAGCTAAGTCACACCGGCTAAGGTACAGCTGGCCACATATGATTTATTAATGCGACAGTTCGCTAACGCGTTAGAAACCACTGATTGATCAATGGTCATATAGGTCGAAAGACACGCCGTTTCCTGATTAATTTCGTGAATATAAACTACCAAAAGGGGGTACGGAAGAAGCAAACTGAAAGGACTGAACGCTGTAAGAATATGATCACAAAATAACTTCGTCGAGGAACGATAACAAACAATTTCCTAAGTATGAAGCTGGAGCATGTAGTAGAAAATGTTGCAATTATCAAAAGGTTTGATGAATTTCTCAGAGATACTAGGTATTAAAGTCCGCATCCACAGCAGGAATCCGTTCTTCATGGAAGTCAATGAGGGTGACGAATGAACCCTAGAACTTCTGTGAAAGCCGCACAAGCCAGCATCAAAAACACATTTATTTATCGTGGCATCAGAGCTGGGACCTAGCGTCAATACCAACAAAGACGAAGTTGGCAAGCTGACGTCGGGATTGGTAAAAATCCAACTCTGAAAGTCCTGCAGGGAGGCGCAAACAGATACAATCACGCCAGGTCGGCGAGAATCACTGTAACGTGGATCAGTAATACCCAGTCGCAGAGGATAAATAGCATGCGGGGAGCTGAATGTGAGAGCTATGGGCTTCTACCTCTGCTATCGAACTAGGTACGGCCGTCTAAACGTCCAAACTGGCGTGCATAAGCAGCCCCACAGTCTTAAGAACTGGTGACTAAAGCAGATGAAAAGACCCCAATTCACAGCAAACCCATTGACCGGAGGCAAAAACAACAACTTTACCGGCGCGAGACTGCGGTGCTGCTGGCAAACAAACTAGAAGTCATCACTTTCGTCCATAAAGTTCGTCGGTGGACCACCCTGGACGTACTCGTTTTCAAAAATATTCACAAACACCTAATATTCCATAGTTTTTGGCTAAGCACATGAAAACAGTAGTTTGTAGGCGGCTTTCATCCCTCAAGTTCTCCCTAATGACCGCTGCAATTCCGACATTAACGTCACTAAGACAAGGTTAAGCGTGAAAATGCAAAGGCCCATTACCTCATTACTATAAACATTACGCGACAAAAATAACTAAGGCAGATTTAGCAGCTAAAATTGAGAACGTTGTAAGATTTCTACGGACTCTACAAAATTGTTATTGACAATGTCAAGGTATCGGTTAAAGTCTAGCGGGGGTACCCACTTCTCTAATCTTCATCAATCTCAGTTAACTTACGCTCCCTTGTCCGTTTTAGCGGGCCATGTAAACAAATGATTTAGTAGGCTCGGGCAAGCCCAAGATGAAACTGAGCAAAAGGTCAAGAAAAGGGGTCGTTGAGACGAGCAAAGCCCACCTCCCGCACCCAAATAGACTATGAGAAAAATTCAGCTGGGCAGTCGCGTGACGACTCGAGCCGCGTTCAGTAACAATGATCCATTCCTTCAACTCCGAAAATGGCGGCAAAATCGGCTAGGAATGACCGGAAGAAGTATTATGCTGAAACGACCACCTCCATGGGCAGAACTCAAGCGCTGGTGACACTCGAAAACTCTGAAAAAATTATCCGCCAAGTTAGTTGTAGGCCCTCGACATCGGGCAACTGTATTCGCAATGCAAGTGGCGGCTTTATTGCTGATAACTCAACCAAGATCGACCGATGTCGTGAGCATTTTGAGCACATCAATTTTGATGCCCTCGTACTCTGCAGCGGATTTGCACCCCTTTTTACCTAGGCAGTGTCATGCGACCCACCTGAAGAGGAAGTCGCTGATGCAATACAAAGGCTACGCAACAACAAGGCATACGGATAGGACGGTATTGCCACTGAAATCTATAAGTCATGTGTCGACATTCTAGCGTACTGTCTCGATGAGATGACTGAACAAGCGCGGAGAGATGACGTCGTTCCTGAGGAATGGGGCTCGAGTCTCATTATACCTGTCTTCAAAAGGAGTGACGAGACAAGATGCGAGAAGTACCGCGGAATAAGCCTTGTCGACCTCGCTGCGAAGGTCTTCGTTGTTGTCTTTTTTTAGCCGATTCCAGGCTGTACGTAACTCTAGAAAGAGGTCCAACCAAGCCGGCTTCCGAGCTGGGCATGGGTGTGCCGACCATACATCCACACTATGGCGTATTCTCAAATTCCGTCATACAACACACGGCCGACTGCTTTGTTGACTGCCGCTACGTACGATTCCGCCCATCGCGAGTCCGTGTGCGAATAATGGAACTAAACGTGTTAGCCAACATCATTGCCATGATCAAGGCCTACTGCTGCTCCACTATCAGGCGAGTTCTGGTCCATATCAATTCCCTCCCAGCCTTTCGGTATTCCGTCTGACATTTGAAATGTTTGTATACCGTTGCTATTGACTACATTCTCGGGAACGCCCTACACAGTCTGTGGTGTCGCAGTTGAATAAGGTCGCTAAACCCGTCGGTTTATCCATAAACGCTGGGAAGACCAAAAAGTATCCCAGTTGCATCTCTCACCAGGAGAAAGCAACTCTCGAGATTAATGGCTGTTGACTCAAAGAAACAGTTTCAAATACCTCAGGGGAAGGCTGGTGCTAAATGGACAGAAAAAGAACGACACTGTCTCCCGAATCGACGCTGCTCACAGGATATCTTCGAGACACAGATGGTGTCTATGGACCCGCCGCGAAACCTCCGGAGCCACGAAGATTTGCGTGTACCGTAGGCCCTCCAGTAAGTCCTTCTCTACAGTTGTGCGCGTGGAGGATGAACAAAACCTGAAGGTATTCAACTGCCACTGTTTGAGGACCATCCTCTGAGTGAAAAACACCGACCTCGTATCAAATGACACAACTCACGCTGGCTGCGACTACACCGCGAGGATATCTCGTGCCATTTAGGGAAAACGACTAAAGTGGTTTAGACACGTTCCTCGTCGTCTGTCTCACGGGCTCTGTGTTACTGCCCTCGGCCCGGCGCCCTTACTTACTTGGAGGCGTCGAAGAGAGGGTCGGCTCAATATCTGCCTCCACACAGTCCGTCAAGACATGGAGGCGGTTCTCAGACCTTCGTTATTTGGTCTCCGTCGTTGGCGAAGGGAATGGGTTGAGTTGTTCGGACCTGTTACCACGGATCTTCACGCGTAGAGAGGTACAGTCCGTGACATCATCGAGGACGCCTAGGTCAGACATGATGGCAGCCGTACCAAGTACAAGTACTTTGGGAGGTGGTCATCAAAATTAACGACGGACAGTCATGTTTTAAAGAATGCATGTCCAACAGTTGAATTTTGGTTCAGAAATTTAAGTTCCCTCGGGAAGCATTGTTTGCAAGGTGCAACTAATCGTAAAAAACACATGACTGCACTTTTTCTCGCGATTTTCGTCCGTAGAACGGACTTTGATGAATACTATGGCATCCATGCAGAATACCCCGGTTATCAAGCATGTTTTGTAAACATTCATCTTGCAAACTTGTGTGCATTGTCTTTACTCCAGAAATATCGGGGAGCATACTGTGCATAGAGCAGAAGAAAGAATGCAATCAACAGCACCACTATTAGTACTAAGACTAATAGAAGATTTATATTTGGACTTGGACAAATAAAGCGTCGACAAAGAGAGCATATAAGCGTAAGTACTTTTATGCCCGGATATGCAAGGTTGTCTGAATTGGGAGCTATTTGCTGTATATTTGGAATCGTAGTGACGCGCACATGTTCAAAATAAAGTGCACGAGACAGGAAGCACTCCATATTTTTTCGTTTCACAAGGAAGAAGGATTATAATGTAATCACACCCACATCCTTCGCGCCCCAGAGTGCGAAACATGTACCCCAATGTCAAAAATAAATATCATTGTTTGGTGGAAAGTGTTAGTGCAAGGGTAGAAAATGGAAAAAAATCGTGACACGCAAGTGGTAACGCATTGCAAGGCTCTACGGATATCCATACATGCATAAGTATACATAAGACTTCTGGTTAACGTTTGCTGGAAACTACCTCAAATAATGCTGTGAACCAGGGAATTCACAGGATATGAGCAAACGGTAGTGTTTAGGGTACTAAACAGCAAATTAAGCAAAATTGGTCTGTAGTGGGCACACTTTGGCGAGAGAATATGCTTGGAAAATTGCCCACTCAGTTGCGCAGGACACATCTGAGGGCAAACTCAACTTACCAAATGTCAAAATTGACATTTGGTAAGTCGGTAAAATTAACCTTGTTAACAAGGTTAATTTTTAAGCACTTTAACGCACTCATGAAAATATGATTAAAAAAGAATCAAACACGACATAGAGTTGCAGTAGTAACCGTGGAAACAGTTCAGTATGTCAGAACAGCTAACAGTAACGGCATGAAAAGCTGATACTTGTGAAGAGGGTCGACCGAAGACTGCAGTTTTGATGACGAAGAGGTAGGAGGAGCAATCGTGTGAGAAACTGAGAAAAAAAGGAATCATTGCGAGTAAAACCGACCGGTGAGAGAAATGTTGATGGATAGCGTGGGGTTGATGCGAGTTAGGAGGGAAAGAGGCAATCGACAGGCCAGCAGCATTGGCCCACACTTCAGGATCAAACTTAGAAGCCAAAGCTACAGCCGATTCAAACAATTTTTAGTCCATGTTGGGGCGCGCATGAGTACGCTGTACATTCACTGTGTTCGCTTAAATGTGAATTTATCAAAATCCGATTTTTAGATTTACTAGAATCAAAACAAACGGTTTCAAATATGTGAGCTCAGTGTTAGCCCAGAAACTGGCGTATTTGACTAATTGGTCATTATTAAAAAGGTGTGTTATCGGACATCCCTTAAGACTGCAGCAGTCGAAAAGGTCATTGGCCGGTCTATACTCTGTTGGTTAGAACCATAGTTCATTCAAATGCACCTTAAATTTCCCTCTGTCAACGCCGAATATGGCGTCCTTTTATAGCATCTATTACGAAGATGAGTACCATTTTAGTCAGATGTTGAATATGGACAGACAGAAGTACGCTATCCTAACAAGATACAGCCACCAAAACACTGACCTAATAATGAACGACCACTTAATCTATGAAAACTTGAGGTATGTATTTGGAGCGTTAACTCGTGTGTGTATCTCCAAACACGGTAATCCCGCTCTCCTCCCACCACCGCTGACCGCACGGATCGTCGCATTGCCATCTCCAAGATGATGTTTCGTCAACAACCTCGCAAGAGGTCACAAGATAAGTGACCCCAAGGTAAGCTGAACGTTGGTTTATTTTCTCTGTCTGCTCACCTTTGCATTTCAGCGCTCAGCTAGCTACTGATACAGTTGCTGGAAGTTCCGCCTTTACTTCTTCCGGACTTCTTCTCCGTCCTCCTACGCCCTTCATTCTCTCTTCTCCCTACTCTTCTTTCTACCCCACGGTCGAACGTCCTACGGCGACAGCAACATGCAATAAGGTATGTGGTTTAGTTCATTATTCGTTCTCTCACTAAACCCCGCGGCCAATAGTAGAGAGCGATGTCCGTCTGGTGCGACAAGCCAGCCCTACTAAGGAAAAACAATGCTTCCACGCGAGGATGAGGGGACCATAAAAGGTGCCCTAAAAGAAACTGGGTTCACGAGGTCTGCCCTTAGACCGTGGCTTGCAGACTGCTGAACATATGATAGAGGCCAAAACACAAGACAAAGTCCATCACTTTCTCTAACTCCTCTCTCTAATTTAATTTAAGTTAATTAAATTATTTTTATTAAAGACCCGTCGGGGTCCCATCCGCGATGCTTCACCCCACAGGCATCTTGGGTGGGTCGGTTCATTCTGGTGACCTGGAATGACCGTCTCTATTTAGGTTATCCCAGGGGCAGCCGAATGGGAAGAAGGTCGGCGCCAGTCGCTTGGGAAATTGGACGCCACCTGTTGGACATCTCTACAGTCAGCGCGACCCGATTCTCCGAACAAGGCAAAATGAGGATGTGGGTGCCGGCTACACCTTCTGGAGCGGTCGTCTCAGGGCAGGACAAAGGGGAGCGGGTGTCATCTTTGTCACCCGGAGCGACATCGTCTGTCTGCTGCAGGGCACTAGTGATTGCCTGATGAGTCTCCGCCTGCCTCTCCGGAAGGGAAAATTCGCCACCATCGTCAGCATTTATACCGCCCCCCTCCCTGCTGATGACCAGCCCTGATGCGGCAAAAAAATTCTATGAGAACTTGCTCATCCTTCTGGCATATTTGAAAAAGGCGGATAAGTTGATTGTCCTTGGTGACTTCAGCGCTCGCGTCGGCACAGATCATGATACCTGGAGAGGAGTTCTGGTTCCCCATGGTCTCCCCGGCCCAATAACAATGATCTGCTCCCTTCCGGACCTTCATAGAACACCGTCTCATCCTGATCAACACCTTATTCAGCCTCCCGATGCGAAAGAAGTCGACATGGATGCACCATCGGTCATGACACTGGCACCTGCTAGACTATGCCCTCGTCCTGAAGCGAGATCAGCAGGGTGTGCTGGTGACATGGGCAATCCCAGGCGCCAGTGAATAGACCTACCATCGCCTCGTCACCTCCAAGATGAAAATCAGCCTACAGTCATGCAGGAGACCTCAAGGTAATCGACCCTCTACTAACCTGAATGCTGCTTAGTTCTTTTCATGCTCACCATCTCCATTTTAGCAATGAGCTGGCTTAACTGTTAGCCAACCTTCCAGTAGTCGCCAGAGCTGTGGACGAGAACGCTTCCTTGGCGAACCAATGGTGTCAACTGATGAACATGGTTAAGTAGACTGCCATGGCTATTCTCGGCCGCACACATCGCTAGCATCAGGACTGGTTCGACCATAGCGATGATGTCACCAACAAACTTCTCGTCCGGAAGAACTGCCTGAACAAAACCTATGTCAACCACCTTACCGACAACAACAAAGCGACCTTCTGCCGTGGTCTCCGCCTCGTGCATTAGCGGCTGTGGGTGATGCAGGATAGCTGGACGGCTAGCTGGACGGCTAGCAAAGCCGAAGAAATCCAAGGGTACGCGGATGGCAAAGAATGGAATAAGCTGAATGGACGAATGCAGGCTGTCTACGGTCCGCCAGCCAAAGCAATTGCTCCTCTTCTCAGCGCCCACGGCAGTATCCTACTCAACGAGAAGATGCCAATTCTTTAGCGATGAGCCGAACACCTCAGAGGCATTCTCAACCGCCCTTTCGCCATCTGCGACGCCGACATCGCCCGTCTGACTCGGCTGGAGATCAACGCCGACCTCGACCTCCCGCCCTTTCTCCACGAAACCATCCGGGCCATGCAGTGTATCGGACGCTGCCCCTGATGACATCTACAAGCACGACAGCCCCCTAATGGATCATCTGTCATCGCTCTTCCAGGAGAGGTGACGCCAAGGGCACGTCCCTCTGGATTTAAAGTACGCCACAATCGTCCATCTCTGCAAGCGGAAGGGAGACCGCCACCTCTGTGACAACCACAGAGGCATCTCCCACCTCAATATCGTCGGGAAGATCTTTGCTCGCATCCTTCTCAACCGTCTCAATAACCACCTGAAACAAGGACTCCTGCCAGAAAGCCAACGCGGCATCTACCGTCATCGTGGAACCACGGACATGATCCTTGCCGCCATCCGATTATGGGAGAAGTGTCAGGAAATGCGGACCCACCTGTACTCTTGCTTCTTGTATCTGACAAAAGCCTTCAACACAGTGAATCTCGAAGGACTGTGGAAAATCATGCAGAAATTCGGTTGTCCCGAGCGATTCACTCAGATGATGCGTCAGCTCCACGATAGCATGATGACACACGTCAAGACAATGAAAGCGTTTCAGAGGCATTCGCATTGACCAAGGGAGTGAAGCGGGGTTGCGTCCTAACGCCTACTCTCTCCAGTCTCACGTTCTCTGTCGTGCCAATGAACGTCCACCGTGACGAACGTCTCGGGATCCGCGTCGCCTACAGGAAGGACGCCAACTCCTCAACCACCGACGAATGCGTTCCCAGTCGCGTGCGTCCACAACCACCGTCCATGAAATTCGCTTCGCTGACTACTGCATCCTTGACGACACCTCAAAAGGGGACATGCAAAGGGTCGTGGACCCCTTTGCCACCGCCTGCGACAACTTCGGCCTGATCATCAACACGGAGAAAACGGTGATTATGCACCAACCGCTATCCAACGTTGGCTACAGTATACCCCAAATCAACGTAAACGGCGGTCAGCTGCAAGTCGTCGACAACTTCACCTACCTGGACAGCACCCTCTCACGCACCAACAGGATCGACGATGAAGCGGCCCGCCGAATATCCAAAGCCATTCAAGCTTTCGACTGTCTGCAAAGCACAGTCTGGAATCGTCACAATCTCCGCCTCAACACCAAACTGAAGATATACAAGGTGGTCATTCTGCCGACGCTGCTGTATGGAGCGGAGATCTGGGTGGCGTACAAGAAGCAGGCGACGGATACTAGAGCTGAAGTGGCAGAACCTGATCCCGGACACGGATGTACTGGAGCAGACGGGAATTCGCAGCATCTACGCCATGCTGAGACAGCTTCAACTGCGTTGGAGCGGCCACCTCATGTGGATGGATGACAAGCGGCTACCCAAACGACTTCAAATGGAGATGTCGCCACGAGTCTCTGCCGACAAAGAGGTCAAGTCCGGCGATACAATGATACACTAATACTTCTCTGAGGCACCTGCAGATCAATCCGGCCAACAGAGAAGACCTCATCCGAGACAAACCAACCTGGATGAGGACAGTGAAGGCAAGCGCAGCGATCTATGAAACCAACAGCATCACCGCCGCCAAAGCCAAACTCGGGGCTCGCAAATTCCAACTGCACCCACCTAATAACGTCAACGCCCAACCAGTTCCGGCCTCATACACCGGCAGCCGACATTCCGGGCACCAATCGGCCTTGTAGGACATCTTCGTACTAACTGCAGCACCCGAACTACACCAGTTGCTGTCTCCTCGTCAAACTTTGCCTTATCCTCCACGCCGACAATTGACATTGATCGCACTCCCCAACCACCACTATTATCCTCATCATCCTGCTCCTCCTACTCCTCCTCAATTGTCTCAACGCTCACTACAGCGGCTCCTTTACCCCCCACCACCGCACACAATGCTGGCACACAAACAAAAATCAACCGGCGATGTGGACTCAATCCATACCTGTTCTCATTGCGACCGCCTCTTCGCCTCACACTTCGACCTGGTCGGTTAATTGCGAATCCACCGCACAGAGACTGGCGAACCAGTGCCTGGAGCACAAATCTACACCCGCCGCATCCACCTCCGCTGTCCCCTTTGCCCACGCAAATTCACCCACCGCATGGGCCTATAAGGCCACATACGCATTCACAAAAACCTGCGGTAGACGACCGAAGGCTACTCTGCACTATGAAATCTTCCACATCCGTGCCCGCAACACATTTTAACATCATCCATGGCATGCATCCAGTTGCCACCCCCCACGAAAGTTGGAAGTGTGTTTCCCGGTTCCTTCTTCATATGGCTCCCCTTTTGTATGTGTGATCCGAGCCTGAGACTACAACGGTGCCCATGCGCTGTGGCTTGGAAGGTTGCCGACTGACGCCTCAACTCAATCCATTCAGTCGCCCCTGTTTTTTGTGTTTATGTGAAGTGGCTGACTGGTGGGCTGAGAGCCAGGCTGCTACGGCTCTTTCTTAAAGCGACCTCTATTACTATAATGCATGTAAGGAGTGTGTGTTTGCATATGAGTAGTGCCTCCCAGTCGATGGCCGTTTGGTTTCCCAACCTTTAAAGTGCAAAGGCCCGGGGATTTGTTGGGTTTCATATCACCCTTCTGGGCCTAAAGATCTGTAAGCGCCTGCTTTGTCATTATTCAGCAAATCGTGGTCTTTGCAGCCTGGCATGCGCTGGGAGTTTTGGACATCTGGTTCCCTACAGGTATATACACTTGCGCTACCGCTGCGAGCACAGGTCGTGAGCATGGTCACCTAGTCATCTTCGCCCTCCTGATCCAGTCTGGTTTTGTTGTTGTTGTTGTTGTTTAAATTCCTGGTCAAGCTTGTTTTGGACCAGGCGGTTTGGTGGTACGCCTAGGTGCGCGTCCGGCCCTGCCAGCCACCTGCGCCCTCCCTCAACTCCGGTCTTCCTCACTACGTTTTGACACTGGGCTCAGGTGGGATGGAGAGAGTGCGGTGAACGCTGGGCAAGTTTACATTCACTAACAACGAATTCCGCGCAAGTGGTAGAAAAAAAACGAGCTTACAACTCCTCGTTGAAAAATGTTCCTCAATCTTCACGTGCAGTTGGTGCTGCGACAGATTTACTGTACTCGTGCGGTTTCCACTAAAGAATAGCCGATGCAAAACGCCTGCCCTTCTGTAATAAAAATCCGCCTGTGTTAATTAAATTGTTTTCACCAATCGAGGTCGGTTCAATCTTCACCCATCGAGATCGTATCTCTAAGTACGTAGAAAATGCAAAACTTTTCCTTTGTCACGACCTTACCCCCAACGAGCGTAGAATCGGTTCCTTCTTCTCACGTTAACCCACCGTTTCTCGGTCTAATGCTCACCAACTCGCTCATAATACATGTGGTCGTGGGGATTCAGCTAATTCTATTCCTGCGAAATAAATAAATAAATCAAATTTCTTTTTAATGCCACTTTACAGGCATTGTCAAGGGAAGCGATTAAACATAAATCCGACCAGCAGTGAAAAAAAACTCCTGAGCTAAAGGGATAAAAATATAGTTGATGGTGGTTTTTATGGTTTGGAGGGCTCAGGAGAAAAAACTGCCGGCGGTGGTAAAAAATCTGACTCCTCCCCCCCCCTTACTCCTACATCCCCCTCTCACTAAGGCCACCTAACGCATTCGCTTGTCTGTAAATTAGCAGTAGCCGCTGCTGTCGTCCCTTATCCTCCTGATAGCTCCCCTATGTCGCACGAAAACACGTTTACAGCAGCTAGACCGATAGCTCTCCCAATTCAACTGGGTCATGCGAACTCTACTGTTAAGTCACCTGTGGCTTGGCGTCGGAAGGGAGAGACGACAAAACTGAATCAGACCCCGGCCCGAAAAAAGTAGCACAATTTCATTTAGGGATATGTCGTCTTTGCTTAAATCTACCAAGCCTTTACATCGCAACAAGTCTACAAACTCCGCAGCATCAATTATATCCCCTAAAAAATTCTATATCCTGCGTACCGGTTACTTACCTAAGCTCTACTATATATCCAGCAAATAATTCATACGTAAATTGTCCTAGGTCATTTGTCCCCCAACCTAGTTCAGTCTTCCCACCACCTAACGCCAGCTGTTCTCACGTAAGTCAGCCTAACTCCTTTGACCTCCAACCTAGACCTGGTCTCCCACCTTATTATTCTTAAAGCTGCCTACTCTCCCCAATCAGCCTCTACTTTCCTTCTAGGTTCCATCCATTTGCCCCACAACTTGACTACCAACAAGCCTATCCCTGCTCGAACTCCCCTAGCATGCAAATGCTCAAAAACTATATTCACAGATCCTTTAGGTCTCATGCCCAGCCTTCTCTTGCTGACTCTCCCTACGTCAGTAACTCTAGACTGACTGGTACTTATTCTCCAAGTGTCATTAATTCACAGCCAACATACCCATCTCAATTTTTTTTCTAAATATCGTTGAAAATAGCCTCGCTATTCGAAGCAAATTAGACATTATATTATTGAGTGCCAGGCCTGCTACAAACAAGATGGCACAAATCAGAGCCATTGCTCTCGAAATGACGCCTGATATTATATGCGCAACAGAATCTTGGACCCATTCTCTAATTTCTGACTCTGCCATTCTCATAGATGACTTCGATTTTTACCGTCAAGACCGCGCGACTAAGCGTGGGGACGGTTGTCTTCTTTATCTTAGGTCCTACCTAAAACGCTCCCCTTATTGCCTGGATGTCTCCTCATTCACGGGAAACTTCTGCTTTTCATCTGTTGTTCTCTCGCCGCAAAGAAAGGCTATTATTTGCTGTATCTACGATCCCCAAAATTCTTTAGCCAGTGACGATTCACAACTCTGTGAGATCTTTAAATTAATTTCGGAAGCTGTTTTCGATGTTCAAATAATCACTGGGGATTTTAACTTTCCTGAAAAACACTGGGCCTCCAATATCTGTCCACCTAGATTCCAACCCTTTCAAGATATTTTCAATTTTTCTAACTGGTCCCAACTTGTGCGCTCTCCAACAAGAGATAATCAAATTTTAGATCTAATCTCCACCAATGACACTGCCCCTCTTTTTGTTGCTTTCAAAAAAGACTTCTTTGATAGTGGCCACGTATCAATTCATTGTTGTTTACCACTTCCTTTTTCAAAAAAGACTAGCACGGTTCGAACCTACTTAAACTACGACTGCGTAGATAACGACTTACTAAATAACTATATTAGATCATCGGATTGGTGTGGCTTCCTCACTTGTAGCGATGCAACCATTCTTCGTGATGCCATGTCCATTGTTTCGAAGGACATCCTGGAGTTTGTGCCGCGTCGATATTTCAAGCCTAATTCTTCAGATGTCCTTGTTCCTCATTTTCTTCACAACAGACTAAACAAAGCTGAGACGGCAGCTGCGTGGTCTATCCACTAGTTCCTTATCATTTCATCTTAGAATCACAGAGATTTTGAAATGGCCTCTAGGATGCATCAAGCGCGCGACAGGCAAAGAGAATCACTTGCTCTCAGTGATTCAAACCCTAGCAACTCTGTCGCGAACATCTTCCGTCATCGGTCCTCCTCTAAGCGTGGTCTCGAACTTCCACTCCCTGTTCAATGATAACAAAGTGTTCCCCATCGATGACACTGACAAGGCGGAGTTGTTTAGTGCTTTCTTTGCAAAACACCTTAATACTGAGTTCGAACCGGTCCCTTACTTTCGACCACTTTCAGATAGGACACTGAATCCAAACGATGTCTCCTCAGATCTCAATAAGAAACACATAAGTCGTTTGAAAAACTCACACCGCTCAGCAACGGATGGGATTCCAAATTCGATTATTAAACTAGCATCCGATCGTCCCACCTTGCTTAGTCATTTATTCTCGGTTTATATCTCGAAAGGATTTTTTTCTGAAACATGGAAGACGTCAATTATCATTACTGTATTCAAGTTATTGCCTATATGGATATCTTTAATATGGACCGCGCGAGAGTTGCTGTCGACTAAAACGGAGATCAGATCAGGTTACGACGCGCGTTACTGGGTTGCGCACCCACAAAAATTCCATACATAGGAATGTGGTGACCCGTCTAGACACAGGCTGACACCGTGCATGCCACCGGCATCAGACACCGTCTCAGATCTCTCTGACTCCGTCTGGATACCGGACTCAGATATATTAGGAAGGAAAGAGCGTGCTAGGTGCACCGTACGCCTACTATCACTTTTCACCAATTTGCACGCAAGTCAACATCCATGAGCCCACCCTGCTGCGGGAGTACGGCGGACATAGTCGGAAACGGCGTCTAGTTTAAACAGATTTTATGTTGTGTTTACACCCGCAGCCGACCGCGTAGATCCGCGCGAGCAAACTCGGGATTACTCAGTTTCGTGGCATA